GGTATTGCAGAGTAATCCAGAACCAGCCCTTCTCATCTACTATTCAATATATTCAACAGTGAAATCATCAACTTATTTGGTCCTAATTTTGTAGAGAGACTTCACTCCATTGCCTACGCTGACGATTTTGCGGTGTATTATGCTGATCATAGTGTTGAGAACATCCAGAGCAATCTTCAAGAGGTAGTCAACAATATAAACTTGCACTATAAAGAATGGAACCTTAAAATCAATCCAATGAAGAGTGAGCTGATCTCTTTTAGATGACCTATTAAAAGAATCAATTATTCCACTGTCACTAAAATCAAAAATACTAGAATTACTGCAATAGACATCCACACTAATACTCTACATGATAGTCCATCGAAAACAATAGTGAAATACCTAGGCTATCATATGGACTACCTGTTCTGTCTCAATGCAGACCATAAGATCCAGCTGAAGAAGGCTGTCAGAGCTTTCAAGAACAATAGAAGACTTTTCTACAGTAGTAACTTGGAAAAGAGAGCGAAAGTGATTTGCTACATGCTACTGATCCGACCCATAATTACCTCTGCTGCACCGGTTTCCTGGAACATGGCACACACCGACATGGAAAAGTTCAGGCGTTTTGAAAGAGCGTGCCTCAGGACATGTCTCTAAGCCCATCGGACTAAGAGCTCGGAATACATCAAAAGAACAAGCAATAGATTTATATATAACAAAGCTGACATTCCAAGATTGGATTCATTTATTCCTAGACTCACTAGGAACGACGTTGGGCACCTGGGGAAATTAAAGAATAAGCCGATGAAAGGAGTAGCTACTCCAGACAGCAATATCATCTACGATCAATTAGAATCTGGTTACATTCCTCCCGAGGGATTGAATACTTGTGATAGCCTTGGGTTAATCCAAAATAGTAAAAATCTCCCAGTTATTTATCATCTTAAAAGGCATGCAGCGAATAAAAGCATCTGCACCAATCCAGAACTAGCAAATGTTAGCTTGTGTTTCTCAACATCGCTACTAGATAGAGACATCAGTGATACTTATAGAGCGTCTTCAAGCTATGATTGGCTTTGGCTAAAGGAGGCAGCTTCTACCACAGGCACTGTACCAGAGTTACTGATTGATCCGTGTAGACCTACGTTGTATGTATGTAAATACTCCCACATCCTACCCCTTCTCCTTCCTTTCCCCTTATTTATTAAGTTCTTTTTACATAGAGTTCTGATAATGTTTAAGAGTTTATTAGTTTATTTATAGTCAGTATTTTATCTGCTGATTATTATTCAGTGTTAGTAACGGTGTCTGAATAGTCGAATGTTGAAACAGTTATGGATCGAATTATTATATTTATTACTTTGCAAATACATAGTGTTTATTACAGAGTTCTATTATAGTGATAGCTAGTAATATATATATTTCGAAAGTTGAGTACTTTTGTAAGTAAGTTTTTGCGAAAAATTATGCGAAACTCCCCGCAGACTGTTTTAAGTACTTCTGAATATTCTTCAATTGTTTAAAAAAAAACTACGTCCATAGAACTGTATTTAAAAAATGTTTATAACCCTTTTTAGAGGTTTTTCGACTCGGCGTCAAACAATTAAATAAATAAATTGAAGAAAAAAAATCAAATCGTTGTAAACAATTACTTTTGGCATGTTAATATTATAAATATCAGTGTGCTGCACTGGTCTGTGTGCGACCCGAAAATTCCACACGACCAACTTCCCAGTGAAAAAAATGAAAAAACACCCCGAGTCGAACCTGTTTCCATTCTTTATAATAAATAGAATTGTTATAAACGAAATGGGTGTGTTTTTATTCATTTGATATGGTTAGTTACTTCATTTCAGTAAAAGAAAAAATTATGCGTTAGAAGAATTCAAATATACCTCATAGATTCTTTTTTTTTATTATTTACAACGAATTTCATTGTTATAAACGAAAAAAGTATGTTTTCATTTATGTCATACGGTTGCTAATATTTTTTTAGTAAAAGAAAAAAATATGCATTAAAAGTACTTATATATCGAAAGGGTCCCTATTTTTATTGTTCATAACAATTTAAAACTTATTATTTAAATATTTCTATGATCAATAATCACTTGTTAGTAACAATGTTCAATTGTTATGAACACAATTCCATATTATTGACAATTATTATTGACTATTATAGCGTCTTTAATGCTGTTTTCTCAATCCTGACACGAGTTTAAAATTCTTTCATTGCTGATATTGTTATTTAAATTTTTTTTTCCGACGAAATACCGTCATCATATTTTCATACAAGTATTCTAATCATTTAATAATTATATTTTTTAAAAGATTTTAGGATTTTATCTAAAAAATGGTATAATTCATAAATTGCAAAGTTCAGGTCGTTTTCCATTTTTGCTAGTTTTTTGGTTTTGCAAAAAAAATGGCCGAACCGATTTCGTTGAAAACCTAATCAGGTCTAAGTTGCGCAATTACGTGTCAAATGCAGTTGGTTTCACGTCGATATCATTTTTTGTTCTCGAGATAATTTATGCGAAAAATAATTCCGAACGCACATGCGTACATATACACTCAGACATCCACTGGAAAAAGATCGTCTTCGACTCTGGGGACCTTAAAACGTGGAGATATGTCAAAATTCGGGATTCGCAAAATAGAAGTCTAGCGCTCTGACTGCAGAGCTATCGTGTTTATAATCTAGCTATTTATGCTTGTAAATTATAAGCTGCAGGCTTGGGCACAGAGAGTGGAGGCAAAGCTTGCCCGTGAAGTGCCGGAACTCGCTCCGGATTGTTTAAACTATTTTTTATTGTTAATAAATTGTTAAAAAAGGCTATTATCAATGTATTTGTACAAAAAAAGGATAAATAGCCCTGTTCAAATATTTTCTCATTTGTCATCGATTAATTCAAAAATAATTTTAGGCTATACAATTATTAAGCACTTGATAAATACGCATACTAAAATATTTTTTAGCAACATCCACTCATCGATATCGAAATTTTGCATCTCGAAACCAATTTCTGTCAATGTCTATATCGAGGGGAAATTTTCCATCATAAATTGATAGTTCCTAAGCATCTTGGATTCGTTTGCTTTTAACAAATTTACTTAAATATTTTTTGTCAATAAGTCATAGAAAATCATGTTACTGAAACGAATATTTTCCGTTATCATCTTCTCGATTTCAATTGCACATTCTACTTCTAGCTGTAGTATGTTAATTGATCAATCTATATAATAACAATCATCTAGATCAGAAAATGGACTATAATCGCTCCTTTCAATCTGAGATTGATAAACTTTATCATAATTTCGTCTATTTACGTGTAATCCTGCGTCCTTCAATTTGATTATTTGTATTTTTAGAGCTTGTTGTGTTTTTACAGTTGTTTATGTCTATCATCTAATCCTCCAGAATTGTAATCACTTACGTCAGAATTACCTGAGTAGGTTTCTCCACGTTCAACATATTCGGAATACTTGGTGAGTTTGGTTCGCATCAAATCTATGATTTCCAATGCAATTTCAAGGGCAGTTTTTTCGCTTCTATCCACAATATTAACATTAGCGCCATATTTTATTAAAACTGTAGTATGATCAAGAAATTCCTTTTATACCGCAGTATGAAAAGGTGCATTTCCCTCTATGTTGATAGAAGTACAGTTAATTTGGGTGTGTTCTGACTTGGAGGGGCCCAAGTCAGTTAGTCAAAAATATTCAAACATTGTTAATGCCGGACTTGTCCACCGGCGCGTCAGTCAACTCACTGGACCAATCATCGGGAAGTATTTCCCTCATGGCCCAGAAGGCAACTCTACGGCCCTAGTGACGCCAACAAGCACGCGGTCGAGCACTTGTGGCGTCAGTTAGCTCCAGGCAAATCACGCGGTCAGCTCTGTATAAGTTTTCGCAGTCAAATCGTAGTTTTTTTCAGTCAGCTCACTCGTTGTACAATAACGTACGGTCAAATAGACTCAGACAGCTCTCACGAAGAAACGTAAATCATCAAATTACTCTCATCAGTGCAAGTGGTCCAGTATATTCAGTTTGTAGTGTCTTTGCGCGCGAAGCTGAACTGGCGTCGACGCCATAGTGCCTCACGGACATTCACCTATACATCGCTCCCCCGAATAACTCTGGTGTATACTGTGAATGTTGCTATTCACTGTTTTGTGAGACTATGTTATTTGGTGACAAAATAACCATCAGACAATTCAGAAGTGTATGAACAATTAAGGTACAGTCAATTCACCTAAACTCAGTGATTAAGAATTTCCATTGTTTAAGTTAAGTGTTATTGTTGAATAAAAACTATAAAACTCAAGCAGTCTGTGTTAATAAACTATATTTGTGAACCTTCTAGCATCCAACCTTTTGTTCTTATTCTGCTCTTAATTCATACAGTCCACTAGTTTTCAGATTGCTCATTCGGCCGACTCGAAGTCAGAACATTTGGTCCTTCGAGCCGGATAAGAACAGCTTGGATGCATATCGAACAACTCTAGAAGGTTCTAGTAGTGAATATTTTTCGGGAACATTTAGTGAAATATTCATTCGCGAGTGGTTGTGATAAGACAACTCTTAGTATTCTATTGTAAACAACCTCACAGACAAAAGGTGTTTACGCATTCCAGTGCCCAGTGACACTCATTTTTATTATTGTGAGACAGTGGTGCTCATCTCACAACTTAAACAAGTTCTTGAGACGCTTGGCGCGCAGTTTAAGTGTGTGAGAGTCAAGATAACCTTGACACAGGCAACTCACTTGTATATAAACATAGTTAGTAATTAGTGTAGTGTCCTTAGTGTAAGTTTAGTCACCTAAAATTAGTATTAAGAGCTCGTAGACTCAGTTAATTAATTTTTTGTGATTCCTTTGGTGTTGAGACTTTATTGAAAGCCCACCATTGGCATCAAGGTGACAACAGACAACTCTAGCAACATCTTTTTTGTGAAGTTTCTGCGTGATAAGTGTAGAGTTAGTGAAATTAGACAACTCACTCAACTGAACAATGGCAGACAAACGGTTAATTTCGCCGGCAAAATCGGACTACGTTGATGTAGCCGAAGACAATGAGTCAGTTGAAGGTATTAGTGAGATATTAGAGCAAGTGAGTGTAAGCCAAGCACCATCACCAGTTCCAGTCGACTCTCAGGCAGAAGGTACCAGTGGAACAACACTCCAGGTACCCGAAAAGGCAACAACATCACGTGACAGGTCCAAGTCACCACCTGCACTGGCAAACACCACGTTATTTAAATTGACGTCTCAAATGTCCAGGTATGAGCAGCTTCAATTTATGCACCAAGACGTGGCTGATCTTGTGCGACAGCCTGCTCTCGTCACAATGCCCATAATCGAGGCGAAACTGTCACAACTCAACGACCTCTGGACATACTTCGTGGTGGAGCATGAGGCATTAGGAGTCGGGTGTCGGTTGACACTATTTAAACATCAGTATATGACCGACAGAGTGTACGAAAGTGCGTTACGGCTGCATTATCATATAGAGTCAACTCTCCATCGTGTAAAATCAGAGCTACACGAGAAAGACATCCAGAAGGCCATCGATGATTACAAAGCCTCTACAAAGCAGTCAACTCCAATCATCTACCGACAGGCAACTCTCCCAGAGATCCCTCTCCCAACATTCGCAGGCGACTCATCAACGTGGACGCAGTTTCGGGACATGTTTACGTCCCTCGTCCACGATCGGGAAGATCTCAGACCAGTAGCCAAACTACACTACCTGAAGGCCAACGTATCAGGTCCCCCACTTCAACTGATCCGTCATGCGGTGATGAATGATGATGGGTATGAGCCAGCATGGAATCAGCTCAAGGCCAGGTACGATGATCCAGAACAACTCATCTTTGCCCATATCAAGGATCTGTTCAGTGTGACCACACCATCATCAAAGTCAGCTGAACAACTCGATAACCTGGTAGGCGTGGTACGCCAAAACTTAGATGCCTTGAAGGTACTCAATGTCCCAGTCGACTCAGCAAACTACTTCTTGATATACCTGGTGGCCAGTAAGCTTGAGCAGCCGCTACGTGAGTCATGGGAACTCGAGCGAAGTAGGTCTCGCTCACCGACAACTCTAGACAGTCTACTCAACTTCATCTCTACTAGGGCACGTGCGATGGAGTCAGCTCAAGATGCAGCCCGTCAAGCAAAACGGTGGCCTACTCCAGTGATCACCAGAAGGTCCAGATCACAACAACAGTCTACTCAACCGCAGACGACTCACCCACAGACAACTCGAGCCTCCAGGCATGCGGCGCAAAAACGACAAGCAGACTACCCGTGTGATCAATGCAGCAGTTTGGATCACTACTTGGTTGACTGCAAAGCGTTCGCAGGACTGTCACAACACGAAAGGTACAAGCTGGTCCTCGCAGCACGGCTGTGCTTCAATTGCTTCGGTCACCACTCCATCCAGGTGTGCCAGTCAGAGAAACGATGCAGCACGTGCAATTTAAAGCACCACTCAATGATCCATACGCCCAGGACAGAATCTCTAAGAAAAAGAGGATATGGACCAGGCCAAGAACCGCAGCCTACTCACAGCAGCCAACAGCCATCAACCTCCCAGCAGTGAGGTGATGACGTGCCATTTCCACAGCCGACTCCAGATCACACCCATTCATCTAAGCAGACTTCTCACCCGGTAACTCATCATCATAGTCAACTCTCGGCAGTCAACTCTAATTATGTTTCAGTCAATTCTCCAAGTGGTGGTGTGATCACTCAACATGCAGACAACTCAACGATTAATGGTGGTGAATCATGTCAATCTATATGTGCTGACAGGAGTAAAGAATGCTTCTCTGATGACTCGACGGAAAGTATGACCTTAGCACATGAGGTTTCGGCCTCAGGAGGGTTAAGGGTCCTGGAAGAAGAGTCAGAAGGTCTCGTTCGATCTCCTACAGCTGAAGAAAAGAGTCAAACTCACACTAGTCAAATCTCAGACGACTCACATGATTCAACAATCACCAAGAACAATACAGACAACTCAGATATCCATGGAAGACTCGCTTCAGCACTCAGGGCAGCAGAAGATCCATGCAAGAACGAGTCTCCAGTTCAATCAGACAGCTCAGCAGTCTTACTCGCCACAGCCAATGCAGTATTACTCTCAGACTACTCTCAGCTTCCAGTAAGACTCCTGATAGACTCAGGGTCTGAGCTGACGTTCATCTCATCAAGTGTGGTAAAGACTTGTAATCTCCAACGTCGTCCATCAGTAATATCAGTGCTGGGAATTGGTAACGAACCAGCTGTACAAACTCGAGGAGTGGCAACAGTGACACTTAGATCAACTCACACACAGGAGCAAGTTACAATCAATGCTCATATTCTCAAATGTGTCACTGGTACTTTACCAACTAGACAACTCACAGAACTCAACTGGTCAGCTCTCAACTCTCTGCAACTTGCTGACCCAGACTACTCAACTCCAAGACCCATTGACATTTTAATAGGAGCAGATTGTTATGGACTAATTGTGAAGGCAGGCATAAAACAATTTCCTCAGTCATCGCTAATAGCCCAAGATTCAATTTTTGGATGGATGCTCATTGGAAGTCCACACCCGACAAGATGCTCAAGTCAGAGAACTCATCACGCAGCAAGGGTCAACTCATACCAGCAAGTATCTGATCTCTTGACATAATTCTGGGTTCAAGAAGAAGTTCCAGAGACCTTAGCCAGCCAACTCAGCCCAGATGATCAATCTTGTGAAGACCATTATGTTACGACTCATTCAAGAGATCACGATGGGAGATATATTGTGAGAATACCACTCAAAGCATCACCATCTCTTCTAGGCAACTCATCAGCGAGAGCTCATCAGTGTTTACTACACATGATCAGACGACTCACCAAGAATGACTCATATGCACAACTCTATCACAACTTTATGCAAGAATACGAGTCACTGAACCACATGACACGAGCCAAGGCAAGTCCAGTCAACTCTCCAGTGTATTATTTGCCTCATCATGGTGTCTTAAGAGAAGACAGTGTTACTACAAGGCTTAGGGTAGTATTTAATGGCTCTAGTCCATCTTCTAGTGGCCTATCAGTGAACGATATTCAACATACTGGTGCCAAAGTCCAGAAAGACATTGCAGACGTACTCATTTGGATCAGGCAGCATAAATTTGTGTTTACATCAGACATCACAAAGATGTACAGGCAAATCAAAGTCCACCAAGATGATTGGGATCTCCAGAGAATCCTGTGGGTAGACGAGCACTCCAAGATAATCCCATATCAACTCACAACGGTCACGTATGGTACCAGGTCAGCCCCATTTCTGGCTGTTCGTACAATGATCCAGCTAGTAAAGGATGAAGGTCATAAGTTCCCTCTAGCTGTTGATCCACTACTAAAAGGAAGATATGTGGACGATATTTTTGGAGGTGCTGACACCGTGAGTCAACTGATAGACATCTCAACCCAAGTCAGACAACTCTGCATGGCAGGTGGCTTCCCGTTAGCGAAATGGCACAGCAACTCACTTCAATTCCTTCAATCACTTACAGACAACTCATCAGAAGAGCAGATCCACTCATTTGAGAGCAGCAAAACGAAATTACTTGGGCTCTCGTGGATTCCAGCGAACGACTCATTTAAGTTCAACTCAAAACCTCCTCGTGAGAAGTCCAAGCTCACAAAGAGAATAATTTTATCAGAAACAGCACAACTCTACGATCCACTTGGATTTCTAGCACCTTTCATTGTCAGAGCAAAGATGTTGCTACAAGAAATCTGGCTAGATAAACTCTCATGGGATGACCAAGCCCCAGATCACATCAGCACCAAGTGGAACAACTTCAGATCAGAACTCTCACAAGTTTCAGACCTCTCAATTCCACGATGGTTACGGATTACTCAGAAATCGACCGTGGAACTTCATGGTTTTTCAGACGCCTCACAAGCAGCTATGGCAGCTGTTGTATACATACGGACTACTCATCCAGATCATGGAACTTGTTCAACTATAGTCTGCTCAAAGTCTAAGGTTGCTCCATTGAAGAAGATGTCTATTCCTAGACTAGAACTCACCGCAGCATTGCTGCTTGCCAGACTAATCACTTATGTAAGGAACAACTTAGACATTCAGCCAACTCAACTCGTATGTTGGACAGACTCCTCAGTGACTTTGACCTGGATTCAGTCTCACTCATCCCGTTGGAAGGAGTTTGTAAGAAACAGAGTGTCAGCAATTCAAGATCTCACTCCAATCAGCGTTTGGAGGTTTGTACCTGGCAAACAAAATCCAGCGGATTGTGCTTCTCGAGGTATCAGCATATCCCAGCTTCGGAAGCACTCCCTGTGGTGGACAGGACCACAGTGGTTAACAGCAGACGAATCATTATGGCCAACTCAATCATCAGTGTACGATTCAAAAGCTCAGCAGGAAGAGCGGCCCGGGCTCACCTTACTTACTCAGACAATTCAACATGATTATCATTGGGATATGATATACAGACATTCTCGGCTAATCAAATTGCTCAGAGTGACTGCAATTTGCTTCAGATTCAGCCAACTCCTCAGACGAGTACCGCAGTCATCTCTCACCTTCCCTCTCACGCCACAAGAATTAGAGAGAGCAAGGATTTTTTGGATAAAGGCAACTCAAGAATCGTACTTCTCACAGGAAATCAAGCAGATCAACTCAAATTCACTGCCCGGCTCACACCCCCTCGCACGATTGACAGCATTTATTGACACTTAAGGAGTCATACGTGTTGGAGGGAGGTTAGCAAATGCTAGCTTGGACCAAGAAGCAAAGCATCCTGCAATCCTACTACAGAAAACTCATCTTTCCAGACTAATCATTGCAGATGCTCATGAAAGAACATTGCACGGTGGGACGCAGGCAACTCTGAACCTCATACGAATCATCGTACTGGATCATTGGCGGACGACTCCCAGTACGATCCTATATTTACCATTGTATGAAATGTGCTCGTTTACGTGGCGAACGAGCGAAGCAGTTAATGGGTCAATTGCCGTTATCAAGAATCACTCCAGCCCGACCATTTGCCGTCTGTGGTGTGGATTACGCTGGTCCCATCACGCTAAAGACTTGGAAAGGCAGAGGCGCCAAAACATCTAAGGGTTGGATGTGCATTTTTGTGTGCTTCGTTACTTCTGCACTTCATTTAGAAATTGTAACAGATTATTCAGCAGACTCATTTATTCCAGCGTTCAGAAGGCTCACTGGACGTCGAGGTGTCTGCAGAACTCTCCACAGTGATTGTGGCACCACATTTCAAGGCGCAGACACGCTCATCAGACAACTCTTCAAGCAGGGGACTCAACAGTTCAGTCAACTCGCAGCTGTATTTGCAAAGGATGGAACTGATTGGAAGTTTAATCCACCAGCTGCACCACATATGGGAGGAAAATGGGAAGCTGCAGTCAAATCAGTAAAGTTCCATCTTAACAGAACGATAGGCGACTCACTCTTTACATATGAAGAGCTTTTCACACTGCTTGTCCAGATAGAAGCAGTCCTTAACTCCAGACCACTCGAGCCTCTCTCAGCCGACTCTACAGACATCTCAGCGTTGACTCCAGCACACTTCTTGGTTGGTGAACCGCTAGTAACATTACCAGAGCCTTCACTGGAAGATGTGCCAATGCCACGCTTGTCCAGGTGGCAATTTATTCAGCAGCGACTCCAATCGTTTTCGTCAACGTGGTCAAAACAATACCTTCAGCAGCAACTCGCCATTTCCAAGTGAAAACACCCCGCTCACAACATCACAGTTGGCTCACTTGTACTACTCACTGACGAGAGGTGCCCACCAACGAAGTGGCCTCTCGCCAGAGTGATTGAGGTGTTCCCAGGATCAGACGGACTCATCAGAACAGTCAAACTCAGGACAGCAACAGCAGAACTCGTCAGACCACTCACAAAACTAGTCATCCTACCATACACTCCACCAGCAGAAGATCAGCAAAGGCGTTGCTGATGGTGGGACAATGTTCTGACTTGGAGGGGCCCAAGTCAGTTAGTCAGAAATATTCAAAAATTGTTAATGCCGGACTTGTCCACCGGCGCGTCAGTCAACTCACTGGACCAATCATCGGGAAGTATTTCCCTCATGGCCCAGAAGGCAACTCTACGGCCCTAGTGACGCCAACAAGCACGCGGTCGAGCACTTGTGGCGTCAGTTAGCTCCAGGCAAATCACGCGGTCAGCTCTGTATAAGTTTTCGCAGTCAAATCGTAGTTTTTTTCAGTCAGCTCACTCGTTGTACAATAACGTACGGTCAAATAGACTCAGACAGCTCTCACGAAGAAACGTGAATCATCAAATTACTCTCATCAGTGCAAGTGGTCCAGTATATTCAGTTTGTAGTGTCTTTGGGCGCGAAGCTGAACTGGCGTCGACGCCATAGTGCCTCACGGACATTCACCTATACATCGCTCCCCCGAATAACTCTGGTGTATACTGTGAATGTTGCTATTCACTGTTTTGTGAGACTATGTTATTTGGTGACAAAATAACCATCAGACAATTCAGAAGTGTATGAACAATTAATGTACAGTCAATTCACCTAAACTCAGTGATTAAGAATTTCCATTGTTTAAGTTAAGTGTTATTGTTGAATAAAAACTATAAAACTCAAGCAGTCTGTGTTAATAAATTATATTTTTGAACCTTCTAGCATCCAACCTTTTCTTCTTATTCTGCTCTTAATTCATACAGTCCACTAGGTTTCAGTTTGCTCATTTGGCCGACTCGAAGTCAGAACAGGGTGCGAGCAAGAAGTTTAATGAGTTCCAAGTTAAAATTTTTAACAGCTACATGAATTAATGACTTTTTGTTGATACAATGAACATTGACTTTATGTTTTAATAATGTTATCATTATTTGAAAACTTGAGTTTTGATAGCTTCTGATTGCAGTAATATAAAGAGTATTCAACTTTTCTGAATCAGTAGGATGAATATTAGCATTATTATTTATTAGATACTTGACTGCTTCAAGATTGCCAGAATCGCAAGCTGAAAGAAATGGAGTTCGACCTGCTGCATCTATAGCATCAATTTTTGCATTATTTTGACGCAACAATTCTATTTTTTTAGTCACATCTGTACATGAGACTAAACGAAAATTGAATTTATTGTCATGGGGCTCACAAATAATGTAAAAAGATGTTTTCCTTGTTTATTTGTAGCATTTGGATTAGCGCCTTCTCGGAGCAAAGCTTCTATAAAATCGATTCTAATATTTGCTATGGCCATATGAAGTAGAATATTACCATCTGAATTAATGTAATGAACATCGCCATGATTACGTAATAAGAATCGAGCTATATCGTGATGATCATTTTCCATTTCATCGAAAAAAAGTGAACTGTTTGGAATGTGAACATAGATGGCCGCTCCTCGGTTGAAAAGCATTTCAGCTTTTTTATATCTAGATTTATCAGAACTAAAAGAAACACAGTGATGTAGAAGAGTTTTTCCCTCGGAATTAACGTCAAGCACTTTAACACCGTGTTCCAGAAATATACTGACAATTTCTTGTTTATTTTTTCGTACAGCAAGAACAGTAATCTTTAAGAACTTCGGATCATCTGCTATTTGTATTCCATATGTCAATGAAATTTCCACCATCATTGGATCATCATTATAAACTGCGATATGTAAGCATTTTTATCCTTATAAATTATCAGAAATGTCATTAAAAGGCAAATTTTGGTAAAAATACCACTGGCTGAGTGATATATGGTCAGTAGAAGGTGTTAATAAATTTATATCAGCGTTACTTATTATAAGATGTTTAGCGATTTCAGCATGTTTATGAAAACAAGCCGTTTGCAAAAGATCAAGTCCCGATTCTGGATCTATCAAATAAACATTAATTCCTCGTTCTAAAATCTGCAAAACAATTGACTAATGACCGTGTTTTACAGCTGAAGAAATATATTTGCTGTCGAGTTCAGTATTTGGATCCATGGTGAAATTCCATCTCAACAATAACTCAATACAATCTTTATAAGTTTCATAGCCACACCCTTTCACTAAATTACTCGGTATAAATCTTTCAGATGGTTCTAAAGATGGACAGTGAGGTATTAACTGCTCAATATTTTTTGTCAGTCCTTTAGAAATAGCGACTTAATGAGGTTTTTTAAAATTGACTAATGAGTTATACTTCAATATATAATCAATTATAATCTCAACTATTCCGTCACTTCGATTTTCAATGGCTTTGATCAGTAATCCACATAAACCTTCTCTCAAGGGCCCCTTTTTCTATTATTAACAAAGCAGCTTCCGTTTTTCTGAGTAGGATTGCAATGTCGAGTGGCGTTTGACCACTATGATTTTTAGCATGAATTTTTGTTCCTCTATCATGTAGCATGGTTATAATATCCAAGTCGTCAAACTAAAAAATCATCCAATGAAGAGGAGAATGAGATCTTGTTCTCGGACTGTCAATTTTATTTAATGTTAACATTTTGTGATATTTAGTTCATAGCTGTCTGTCTATCTCTTCGTCTGATTGCCTCACGAAGCCGAATGTAATTACTGTCCAGTGTTAATAATATGTAGCATTCTTTCGATAAGTTTTGCACTGCTTCGCACGATTCTCAAATTTGCAATTCGCATATTTTGCAAAAAAGAAACCTCGCATTACTAAATACTAGTCAATCACCTTTGAAGTTACTTCATGTTTATGAGATTCACAGCCAACATGTGGTAAATTTTGTTTTCTTGCTTCTTTCAGTATGTTGTGAAGAGTGTCTATTTGAACTTTCGATGTTCCAACTATCTTAAGAACAGATTTTTCCAATGTTCTTGTTAGTTCAAATAATTTTATAGATGGATAAAAAAGGCCATCATAAAAATCTCTGAGCCGAATCGATTCATTACAATCATCGTTCCGTTGCTTGTAAAGTAATTTACAATCTTCGCACCTTAATAAAATTTGCATTTTTTTAGTAATGTAACCAGCTATGAATGCTTGAACTTCATCGCTTGTATTAGAAATACGGTTGACAAAAGCTGAGGGCCAGAAACGTTACAATCTTTCGGTGGACGAACTAAGGAGAAACACGATACGAGTCTGAATACTTGACCAAATAATTTTGGATCGGGGTCATCATTGGATCCACAAGAATCCCGCTTAATAGAAAAAAATCTATGTTATGAATCGAATAAAGATATGTTATAATATTCTTATAATAATAATAAGCACCTCGTAATTATAATTATAAATTTTATATTTATAATAATAATATTTTAATTTTACAACTACGAACATCATACAAATAATAATATTATCCAAACTTATATTTACCTCCAGGGAACTTGACTGAGACGAGATGACATGAGACAATCGTACTCAAAATTATCATGCAAATAATCAACCAGTTGTAACGTCCCTTTGAGTGTTACTTCAAAACCAAGTATTGTCGAAAATGATATTGGTATTTTCACATCAACGGTGTTCATTTGATTTTCCCATTGCTGTAGGAAAACAAGGAAAAAAGTTCACTTTGATTCGGCACAAGTTATGGAGTTATTTTAACAAAGCAATTGTGAGTAGGTTTTGATAAAAAGCGGAGTCCAAGCAGTGAAATGAAAGAGATGTTAAAAAAAATGATATTTTTTACTACCTAAAAAAAAAAACCGGATAAATGTTAATGATAAAACAATGTTAAAATATCATTCTGTTGAGAATCAATTAATTCTCAGTTTGAATCTGCC